GCTTTCGAAATTGAGAAGAGCGATGACGAGGGTGACGCCGAATAGAATTGAACATATTGTAAACGCTCCAACACAGATTGGGCGTCAGCTATGTATCTATTGGTTAACTTAATAAAGTGCTTTGTTTTAAATGTTTCCCATTATGCTTCCATTTTTGGTCATTTTACAGTTCTAGAAATAGTCTTATTTTGACCTTCTTAACATGTTTTATTAAGGGTCTTTGCTTGTTTGATGAATTCTTTGTATACCTCATGTTATAGCCACTTTTTGAGCCTCATTTTGCATTGCATTTATAGCATGTTTTTGTACTGATTTCGGGGCTTCCATAAACTGTAAATGTGCATATTTTTGGTCCCTCTTCAATGTTGTAGAAGGGAATTTTTCAGTTTGGGCTGTGCATATACCACTTGCCTCTTTGGCCACCTTTTGGCCCCTTTTCTTGCATAAGAGCTTAGCCATATCTATGTTTGTTTTTAGGGTTTTTACAGTTCTGTAAATGTGCTTATTTTGGGCCTCTCTTCAATGTTGTTGAAGGGCCCTAACCTGTTTGAGGTCAGCAGCTGCGAGTTGTTTCATAACCTCATATTTAGGGCCATTTTTGCATGCCATTGTTGCCCTATCTTTGTTTGCTGTTTGGCCATGCCATAAACTGAAAAAATGATTATTTTGAGGCTGCCTTGCTTCTTTCTTTTCATCTCATGTACCAATTATGCATGCTTTGTATAGCTGTAGTTCATTCTATGCGCCTAATTTGCATTTCGGGAGAGATTCCATGCATCGGGTGTGTTTTCGCCTCATTTCGGGGTTGTTTTACCCCATATTTCAGTGCTGAAATTCCATTGGCATGTTTGCATATCATTTTCCATGCTATTGCATTGCGTGTGTCATTGCCTCGGTTTGCGTGCCCGTGTGCACGCACTTCAAGGCACTTCATTTTCATCCATCGGCCTCTTATGTGAGTGTGGCTGAGGCTCTCTCATGTTAGTGTAAGCCCATTATTGCATTGCATATGCCATTGCCTCAGTTTGCGTGCCCGTGTGCACGCATTTCGAGGCATGACATTCCATAGCATTGTGTATGTTAGGATTGTATCTTAGTCGCATTCATGCATATCATGCATATTGCATCGTGTTCAGGATAGCAGTTAGCCCGGGCACGGGAAACGAGGTGCGTTTCGTACTCCGAGTGACGGAACGTGTCTCAATTCCCTAGTCACCGACACTCCGGATCATCCATGATGGAGTTAGGTTTTGTTGTGTTTTCATGTGCATTCATCCTATATTGAATTGTGCAATTCGACTCCTCGGCCATCATGCCTCGGTATGCGTGATTGGTGGCACGAGGATCGAAAATTTAAATAATATTTAACAAATATATATATTTTAAAAAGATAATATTATTTTATTTAAATAATATTTAACAAATATATATATTTTAAAAAGATAATATTATTTTATTTAAATAATATTTAACAAATATATATATTTTAAAAAGATAATATTATTTTATTTAAATAATATTTAACAAATATATATATTTTAAAAAGATAATATTATTTTATTTAAATAATATTTAACAAATATATATATTTTAAAAAGATAATATTATTTTATTTAAATAATATTTAACAAATATATATATTTTAAAAAGATAATATTATTTTATTTAAATAATATTTAACAAATATATATATTTTAAAAAGATAATATTATTTTATTTAAATAATATTTAACAAATATATATATTTTAAAAAGATAATATTATTTTATTTAAATAATATTTAACAAATATATATATTTTAAAAAGATAATATTATTTTATTTAAATAATATTTAACAAATATATATATTTTAAAAAGATAATATTATTTTATTTAAATAATATTTAACAAATATATATATTTTAAAAAGATAATATTATTTTATTTAAATAATATTTAACAAATATATATATTTTAAAAAGATAATATTATTTTATTTAAATAATATTTAACAAATATATATATTTTAAAAAGATAATATTATTTTATTTAAATAAT